TCCTCAGGAATTGTTTGTTTCTGGAGTGTTCTACCTGTGTGTACAGATTAATGCCTATTCTAAGAGTTTAAAGATTCAAGTTTGCTTTATTTCTCTTTGCCCTCCCTCTAGGGAATGACATAGCAAAAAAGGCCCTTGCCAACGTCAGCCTTTCTATCTTGCATTTGCCAGTCTCTAGAACCAAGAAATTTCTGTTACATCTCAGGAATTGTTCTACAATAGAAAACAGACTTAAGTGTCCTCTATATGCTTAGCTTGGCTTCAGCAGATTTCTTTTAGGTATAGAGCTATCTTAAATTTCATTTCAACATTAATTTTTAAAAAAGGAGACAGAGAGAGTAAAGGTTTCTGTAATTACGAAAGATTTCACATAGATTTTCACTTTAAGTTCTTTCAAAATCATTTGTGAACTACTTTACTTGTGGCAACCGTCTATCTTTATTTCTGTCATCTTCTACTTTTCCATTCTACCCCTTCCACTTTCAGGCTTTAGATGCCCTACACATAGGGAAAGAGAAAACTGTACAGGTAGAAAAAGACTACAGTGGGGTCAGGTGCTGGTGATTCATGCCTGTAATCCTAACTACTCAGGAGGCTGAGATCTGAGGATCATAGTTCAAAGCCAGCCCAGGCAGAATAGTCCCTGTGAGACTCTTTTTTTTTTTTTTTTTGTCAGTTGTGCCTGGGTGTGCTGTCCCTCAGCTCTTCAGCTCAAGGCTAGCACTCTACCACTTGAGCCACAGCACCACTTCCGGCTTTTTCTGTTTATATGGTGCTGAGGAATCAAACCCACGGTCTCATGCATGCAAGCCAAGCACTCTACCACTAAGCCACCTTCCCAGCTGCCCTGTGAGACTGTTATCGCCAATCAATCACTCAAAAACCAGAAGTGGCACCATGGCTCAAGCCCTAGCCTTGAGCACAAAGAGGCTCAGGGACAGTGCCCAGGCCCTAATTTCAAGCCCCACAACCAACAAAAGAAAAGAAAAAGAAAGACTACAGGAAAAAGAGTGAGAGGAGGGATGAAATTGTTCAAAAGGAAATACACATTTTACCTGACTTAGGTAACTGTAAACCTTCTTTATATCACCTTAAACTACTAGTAATTTTTTTTTTTTTTGGTTGGTGGTGCGGCTTGAACTCTGGGCCTGAGAGCTGTCCCAGCACTCTTCAGCTCAAGGTGAGCACGCTACTACTTGAGCCACCCTGCCACTTCTGGTTTTTTGATGGTTAATTGGAGATAAGAGTCTCTTGGACTTTCCAGCCCAGGCTGGCTTTGAACTATGATCCTCAGATCTCAGCCTCCTGAGAAGCTAGGATTACAGGCATGAGCCACAGGTACATGGCTATTAATAAAAATTTTTTAAGAGTATATGTTTTGGGGTTTTTTGTGTTTTTTTTTGGGGGGGTCCGGTCGTGGGGCCTGAACTCTGGGTCTGGGCGCTGTCCTTCAGCTCTTTAGCTCAAGGCTAGCGCTCTACCACTTGAGCCACAGCACCACTTCCAGGTTTTTTCTTTTTTGCTTATGTGGTGCTGAGGAATCGAACCCAGGGCCTCAGGCTTGCAAGGCAAGCGCTCTACCACTGAGCTACCTTCCCAGCCCAAGAGTATATGTTTTGTAAAAAGACTACATTACAAGCACTAAGTGGCTAACAGAGGAACTGTCTGAGAATTAATAAGCTTATCAGTAATCACTGTAGCTGTCCCCACCTTTACAAGAGGGAAGATTGGCATCTGGCTTGAGAAAAATTGTTTCTACTAGTTCCAGACACACACACACACACACACACACACACACAGCTGGTTGCTGACTGCTCACCTGTAATCATAACTACCAGGAGGTTGAGATCTAAGAATCACATGTGAATGAAGCCAGTGGTAGAGTGCTAGCCTTGAGCACAAAAACTCAGGGACAGCACCTTAGTTCAAGCCTAGGCCTGACACACACAAACAAGAGAGTCTATCAAGTCTGATAGGCAGGCCTGATAGAGCAGACCTGTAATCTCAACTCTGGGAAGGCTGACACAGAATTGGGAGATCCAGGCCAGCAGAAGTTACAAAGTGAGTTCTACCATGAAACTGTCTCAAAATAGCAAAAACAACCTGTAACATCTCCGTTAAGAGAGGGTCTGCTAACATTCATGGAATAAACATAGATCCAATGTCTACTTGCAGGAACTCCTGGGCTTAAGGAGTTCACAATTTAAAAAGATGGATCAAGGTTGCTATCCACTACTGTTCACAAGTATATTCTCAACACCTCGAATGAGGGCCCTTCCACAGGAATTAGTTAAATGAATAACTCTTCATAAGGTCAACTTGCAGACTTCTGTTTAAGTAGCTTTAGTTCACATAGCTGATCATAGAATTATTATTATTATTATTATTATTGTCGGTCATGGGGCCTGAGGTCTGGGTCTAGGTGCTGTCCCTCAGCTCTTCAGCTCAAGGTTAGTGCTCTACCACTTGAGCCAAGCAACACTTCCATTTTTTTCTGCTTATGTGGTGCTGAGGAATTGAACCCAGGGCCTCACGCATGCAAGGCAAGCACTCTACCACTGAGTCACCTTCCTAGCCACTGATCATAGCATTTTAAAGCAAGCAATCTGAGTACTATCATTATCATTCCCTTTCCTTTAGCTCCTTAAAGAACTTGAGCATGTTTCCCCAGAATCTTCTTATCCACTTGAGTGTGAGACCAGATTTCAGCTTCCCTTGCATACAGCAGCCAGCACAGTGCACTGATGGCAGGTGGACCTGTACTGCAGAACTGGATGTGTTTTAGGACTTCATTTTAGGTTCCTTCCTTGGTATTTTATACAAAGTGTGGCCTGCAGATCAAACTACTGAAGTAGGTGCTTGCACTGACCATGCAAAACCAATAAGCAATTCATGTGGAAGTTTCAACAAGAAATTTGAAGATGTGGCTTAAACATCCACAACAGATGTTTTCTGATTCCATTTTCTATTTCTACTTTCATATATTTATTTGGGGTTTTGTTGTTGTTTGTACATAACCTGGAGCTTGAACTCAGGGCCTAGGCACTGTTTCTGAGCTGCTTTTGCTCAAGGCTAGCATTCTACCACCTGAGCCACAGCTTTACTTTTGGTGTTTCTGGTAGTTTGGTGGAGATAAATGGCTCATACTTTCCTGCCCAGGCTAGCTTTGAACTTTGATCCTCAGATCTCAGCTCCTGAGTAGTTGGGATTATAAGCATGGGCCATTGATGCCTAGCTTCTTTTATGTTTTTTTTTTCCCAATCATGGGTCTTGAACTCAGGGCCTGGGCACTGTCCCTGAGCTTCTTTGCTCAAGGCTAGCGCTCTACCACTTGAGCCACAGCACCACTTCTGGCTTTTTCTGCTTATGTGGTGCTGAGGAATTGAATCCAGGGCCTCATGCATACAAGGCAAGCACTCTACCACTGAGCCACCTTCCCAGATTCCATTAAACTCTTATCTCCAATTAACCAGCAAAAAGCCAGAAATGAAGGCAGTGGTTCAAGTGGTAGAGTGTCGCCTTGGGCAAAAAGCTAAGGAGCAGTGCCAAGGCTCTGAGTTCAAGCCCTATTAACCGCCCCAAAATAAATAAATAACGCAATGAACTATCAATAGGGGAGAAAGAAATACATGGCTGGAGATGTAGTTCAATGGATAGAGCACCAGTGTAAACTTTTGGGTTGAATCCCAGCATAAAGTAAAAGGGAGAGGGGGCTGAGAAAGTGGCTCAGTGGTAGAGTGCTTGCTTGCCTTGTGTGCATGAGACCCTGAGTTCAATTCCTCAGCACCACATAAGCAGAAAAAGCCGGAAGTGGCGCTGTGGCTCAAGTGGTAGAATGTTAGCCTTGGTCTGAAGAGCTGAGGGATAGCGCCCAGGCCCAGAGTTCAGGACCCAGGATTGGCAAGAAAAGAGAGAGAGAGAGAGAGAGACAGAGAGACAGAGAGAGACAGAGACAAAGACAGACACAGAGAGACAGACGCAGAGACAGACAGAAAGACAGAGAGAGACAGAGACAGAAAGGGAGAGGAGAAGAGGGGGAGAGAAGAGGGGGATAAGGGGAAAAAAGAGCTTGCACAAATGCACAGTGAAAGAAAACCAAGGTTAGGTTGTCTAGCACTTAAGACCAGATGCTGGGAAGTCAAAAACACATCTCAGAGCGGACAGTCAACTCTTTCATTTTACATCTCCAGAACCCTTCTGAAGAAACACCACATTACTGTTCTTTTTCATAGGGGATTTGAAGAAACTCAAAGGCTCACTGTGTCTCTGAGGTTAGCGGACAGACAGCCACTCCTCTATATCCATGAGCAGCTCTCTACCACTGAACCCCTATTCTACATCATTGAATCCCACTAAACCCGTATTCTACATACCGGAATACCCAACCCTACTTAATCATCTGATGAGTAGAACCTACAATTTTTCAAGATCTCACACAAACACGGTCTCCAAAAGCCTCCAAGGAAGTCTTTTCCTGACTTGAGGTGAACAGATCTCTGGGGCAGCGGCCCACGGTGAACTGGTGGGCAGCACACACGGCAGAGTTTGGATTTCGTCCTCACACTAAGAGGGGAGGCCAGGGAAAAGCGGGGCCCTCCCCCACGCCCCCTCAAGAGCAGATCTAACCCCACACAAAAGACCAGGGCCCCGAGACCCCAGGGAGGTCCCGTGGAAAGGATCGCTTCCTTCCATGGGCATTCGCTTTCCGAAACAGAGGGGAGATGTCATTGATCTCTCCAAGTGCTGTGCTGAAATGGGAAAGGCTTCGTCTCGATGGAAAGGCCGAGGCAGCCCCCTCTCCAGGGCAGTCCTGATGCCTCCAGGGGTCGAGACGGTGAGCCCGGGCGGCGCGCGCTGCCCGCCGCTGCCTGCACACCCCGCTTCCCCGCCCCTGGCCCGGCCGGGGTGCGGCGCTTACCCGCTTTTCAGCCCCGACGCGACCCCCGACAGCGTTTTCCTCCCGACCGTGCTGCAGCAGCTTCTGCAACCGCGCTGGGCTCCGCAGGATGGGCCGGGACCCACGTACCTCGCTCAGGCTGCCAAAGGCCGCACCCCGAGCCCCTGGCCCGCGCTCGTATTTAAAGGCTCTGGCCCGAGAAGGCGGAGGCTTCATTCCCCGGCAGCCAGGCCCTCCAGGACTCTGCTCCCAGCCCCACCTCCCGCCATGCGAGGCCCGGGGCTGAGGGGCGTGGCCTCACGGGGGCATGGCCTCGGGGTGGAGCCACGCCCAAAATCGAGCGGGGCGAATCCGCTGCGGCCACCGCGGAGGCTCCGCCCCTTCCGCGAGTGGCGCTGGGCGGTACCGCGTGGGTCCGCTGGGCCCGGGGAAAGGGGAGGGAGATGGCAGCGCTTGGAGTGGGCCGGGGCCAGTTCCAGGGTGCCGGGCAGCGGAGGGGCTGGGCCTCGTCGCGAAGCTCTGGCTCCTTCCCTGCCACGTTGTCCTGGCAGGTCGTCGGTGCAGAGACGTGTCGCCCACCGCTGGAGTCAGGGGGGCAGTGTGGTGAGCGGGCTGCGCGCCGAGAGGACCGGAAGGTCCCGCCCCGTTCCGGTCCCGCAGCAGCCTGGGGCGCCGTGCACTCTAGACGCGGCGCTGTAGTCCCGGCGCCGGCCCACCCCG